TACGTTGCTCCAGGCCGAAGCTTGTGCGACAGCTGCTCCATCACTGTAGCCAGCAGAGGACTGAAAGGAACGGCGGTCGTCGAGGCGGAAGACGGTGGTGCCGTCGTATGGGTGAGCGTGCGGTGCATCTCTTCCAGGTACCGGTAGGGGGTCTTCAAACATCTTTGTATGCAATCTTCAAAGAACGAGACGAGGTGCTCCACAGAGTCGTCGCTATCGCTGTGAGTCGCCTGGAATGCTTCTAGCCAAATGGCCACTTCACTATTATCACGGACGCCGGAAGATAGATTGAAGAGGGCGCTGTCCGCAAACAGCTTCATCAACAAGGACTCGGAAGCATGACGAAGGGAGAGAGACGGGGATGCGCAGAGGATCTTCAAAAGAGTATGGATATATGATTTGTTTGAACCACCTTCAAAAGACCGTAAGAGGATGAACAAGCGCGCCGAAAAGAAGGTGGAGGATACACACTAGGTTTTCCAGACCATGACCAGCCTTCGCGGCTCTGATCCAGGATTCTTAGTGTGTGTAAGGTCTTGAGTACAGAGAGCCCATCTCTGCTTGAAACCGTGTCGGTCCCAAAAAGAAGCTTCCCGGGATCCAGATTAGAGTCTCTTAGTGACTCTGGTAAGCAGGCATGGTAGAGCCAGGTAATACGCTGTGACATCTCTCCAAGCAGAGAGTTCCGCGTAAGACTGCCGACTGTGGCCCCATCCGCATGCTGCAAGCGTTGGTTCGTATCATCGCTAGAGAGCTCTCTGGCGAACGCTACTATAACGCTAAAATCTGGAAGGCGTTTCCGAAGCTCCTGCCGGAGTTCATGCGCTCGCAACGTCCATTGTCCAGTCTCTTCAGTCGTCGAGGAGTCTCGTTCCTCCAGCGTGGTTGATATCCTGCCAAATTCTTCTAACGTAGTGTGAAGTTTGCTGAGGCATTTGATCAAGATTATAGCAGTGCAATGTTGGACCAATCTGCTGGCTGTGGAGGAGTTGGATGGAGTCGGTGATGCTAGCCCCTTCGTAAAAGAGGGTTTTGTAAGTGGCGTTGGGATTATGTTCGCTACGATGGTTGGCAGTGGGGGAGGCGCTGGGTTGTAGTATGGCTTGTGGGTGAAGCTAGATGGGTCCGAGATGGATGAAGATAGCAGGAAGCTGCGAGTGGGAATAGGGAGGGAGATAACGTTTCCGACGAAACTGATGTTGGCAATCCAACGTGAGGACAATCGAGGATTGAGCGTGAGACCGGCCGATGACCAATAACCAGCAACGAGCTCTGGGCATGATTCGAAGACTTTGAGGGCAAGTTCCTGCTGCCTCGTATCCTCGCCAACCTTCAAGGTTTTTAGAACGTTGGCAAGTATTTTGTTGTATACCCCTTTCTTCGTCACATCCCCTTCATCTACTGCATCTTGGTCGCCACTAGTTGAGGCTTCTTCTGCACGAGGGTACCATCCCTTGTCCTGAAAACAGATGCCTTGGCCGGGTCGAGTCATTACGGCAAGCAGGAAATGGTGAGCCAAATCGGCTGGCACATGATCACCCTGCTCGCTCACGTCCTCCGGCTCATTGCGCACATAGACCTTGAGGATCTGGAAGTATATACGTTAGCAAAGACACACAGAAAGAAAGCGAGCGGCTCGTACGTGTGCGATGGTGACTTCCGCGAATATCGATATCTTCGCGTTACGGGCTACACGCACGTCGGAAAGTATGTGCTCCCAACAGGATTCCAAGATGAGCTTGATAACGCTGTATGGGTCATCTCCGAGACCCTTCCAGATGGCCAAAAACACATTTCGGTGGGTCGTTAAAAAGGTCGTCTTCAGCGTGGAGCTCGTTCCTGACGTTATGAAGGATAGGATGTACATCAAGGTCAGAGTACGTATGTCTGGCCTGTGGAGGGGGTCCTGTAAGCCTGACGGCTTCCTTCGAAGGCTGAGCAGCTTGTGGAACACCTTCAGATCCCAGTGGAAGGCTTCAAGCAAGGTAACTTTCTCCTTTCCGCCAGAAAAAGTAGAGATTGCGTTCAGCAAACGAAGAGAGTGTAGGGTTGCGTCCGAGCTGAGGTTTCCTGCTAAGGCAGAGTTGATCTTGCGCATCCATGAGGGGGATAGCAGAGTTTTTATGATGGGGAGCCCATGTTGATGATTTGTGTAATGGGCGTTGAGGAGAGTCAAGACACTGCACAGGAGCGAGGGTAATAGGGAATGAAGGCCAGAGTGCCGCTGGGTTACGGAGCTCCATATATCGAATAATCGTTGGAGGCCAGACTCGACCGATACCCACTCGCAGAGTAGTAACAGACGGCTGTCTTTTGGAGAGACGATCTCATCCGTATTGACATGAAATTGGCTGCGAAGAGCAGTGATCACTAGACACAAGTTAATAGAGCAGTAAACTTTTGATCAACGTTTCTTCGCACCGTTCACCGAATTGGTGTCGTTGTCAGCGCTCCTTAAGCTAGCCTGTATCTGACCAGCACTGGTGAACAACTTCTTTTTCGCGTCGTCGTCCAATTTGACGCGTTTTACAGGCCGTGCTGAGCCCATGCTGAGTTTGAGCGAAACTCTTGAAATGACAGTCCGCGAGTCCGACGGCGGAAGGAGCTGATGATGGGTTGGTTACCTAAGCAAGTTCCCTTTCCCTATGGCTTCCTCGACCACCGCTTCGCAGGAGCAGCTTAAAGCCAATAAAGTACCTCTCGGCTACAGAGACCAGTGTTCAGCGTATGCACTATCTTTCTGGATAAACTTGGTCTCACAATGCTCGTAGGCTCTTGATACCGCTCAATATCTGTCGGAGGGAAAGCAACTGGCTGCCTTGGGAGTGTGAAGACGAAAAGCATGTATACGAGAAGTGAGTGCTGCGTGTCTATATCTGGTTCGCGTGGCTTATAGCTCCCTCCAAGGTGTCAATACGATGAGTACGCGAGCTGACTTGATGACCAAATATGCGCTAACACTGCAACCCAGCTACTTGCGCCGGATGAAAGTCCTTTCGAAGCAGAGGCGCGCGGCAATGGAGGAACAGTCGTAGACGGCTCTGGCAGTTTTACACCTTATTGATCCACCTCTTTGCAATGTTACTAGACGATTTCCCACCTACATCACCGCATGCAGCTCCAAACGAGCTCTCTTCTGCACATGCGTTGGACCAGTGATGTCGTGAAGCCTCGAGAACAATTGACTTTGACGGATGCATTCGATTAAGGGATTAGTAACGAGCGTAAGGCATAGTCCTGCAGTCGGGTATAGTGTTTATAAAGTCCAAGAGTCCAAGAGAAGTGCGATAGAAAGTGAACTGGGAAACAGATCTTCAAGTCAAGAACAATGCAATACAGGCATGAGGTCTCGTCTAATAACGTTCCGAAGACGGAGGATAACCGCGTCCACCGTAACCGCCTTTCTGGTAGAGTTGCTGGCCACTAACACCCCCAACCAGACTAGCTGGCGCCGCGTGGTAGTTGCTTGCGCTATCCTCCTCATTGTAATCACTGGGCGCCGAACCAGCAAGTAGAGGATCCTTCACTTCCCACACGGCTGCCTTCGAACCGACCGAGAACTCAAGATCCTCTCGCTGTTTGGGAGAACGTTATCAGCTAGCACACAGCATGAGGAGAAAGAACGCACAGTGATACTGTCCCAGTACTTGTACACCATCATGACACTCAGCAGCATGCACAGTGTAAAGAAGAACAGACCATCGATGTAGTGTTTGATGGCGTCGCATATGGTCACGCTGAAGGCGAACAGCAGAACCTGGGCAACGGTGAAAAAGGCAGCTCCGAAGATGATGTCTCCAATGGGCCATCTGTCATCCAGCGTTCTGAACACCAGCAGTAACTGGGAGACCACGTAGATAGCAACGCAAATCAGCGGCCACAGGATGTACATGATCCACAGGGCGAAGGGGTTGGTGTGTTTGAAGGTCGCGATGTCTTTGAAAGTAGCGAGGGCGATGAAGAATGTCAGAGCCCAGATGACGAGACAGGAAATGCGCAGAAGCTAAACATGTTGTGAGTGGGTGAGACATATGAGTGAGCCAATTTACAAATTACGCACCCAAAGGGAAAGAGGCGTCCCGTCTTCAGCGAACTGGAACCCAACAAACCCATTGATGAGGAGACAGCAGTATGCTGCTGCTACTAGCCCAGCATAGACCGCGGCAAAGTACTGAGAGAAATGAGCCAGAGTGGAGAAAAGATGCGGCCAAGTCTTACCGGATAGCTAACATTCGCCGTTGGAATGATACCGGTGTCGAGAAACAATGCTAGCAACTCTATGACCAGGTACAGCCAGAAGAATGTGACGATTTCCTTTCGGCCTGTAACAGTATTTCGATTAGAACAGTGTGGCAACAAGAGGAACGCCGGTTGAAACTGACCAACTGCCGTGTATTTGCTTCGTATGTGCAGAATCATAATCACGGTCATGATGATAGCCACAATGTGGACAAATGCCGTTGCTGAGAGATAGGATAGTCAGCAAAAAAAGTGGAGGTAAAGTGCAGGGGTAAAGGAGCAGACACAAGGCTCTGGGGCCTATGACGCACTGGCACAACGCCGCACTCACAAGGCTGGAAAATAAGAGTGCCGCCAACGTCGACATTCCTACTATAGCAGATAGGCTCGACTCCTTGGTCCGATTCCACCAATGGACAGATCACCAGGGCTGCGGTTTCACAGATCTTCTGGAAAGAGCCGAACTCGACCATGATGGGCGAATATCGGGGGCTTCGTAATGACGAGGTGGCAGATAGTGAGGCTGCCTAGCGGTTGCTCCCAAAGCACGATCGGGAATGTTGATGTGGCGGATTCTCGTCCACCGGGAATGCCGTACTCGAGGACGTTTGGAGGAACGTGGGGGAGTGAGGAGGAGGGCGTGACAGCTTGGTGACAGCCGATTCGGATGAGCAAAGTCACAAGTCACGCCAAGGCCTTTAAGTCTAAGCTGGCGTGCGTGTAGTGGAGTCATATTGTTTGACTCGGCCATTCCGTACACTGGCAAGATGGCCGAGCGGTCTAAGGCGCCGGATTTAAGTTCAGGCATTCGAGCAATGCTCTTAGCTGATTCCCGGTGGGGCAATCCCGCGCGAGTTCGAACCTCGCTCTTGTCAAATTCGTAGCGTACTGATGAATTCCTGCTTTTTGTCAGTTTCAACAAGGCTTTTGTTACAGACATACCTACTATTACCAGCATATAGGCTGCGTAGACGGTAGAATATACATTATAATACATAGATCAGCGACTATACAGTACATGCATTTACCGAGTACAGTGTGTAGAGGCAACCAAGATTTGGACCTGGCATGAAACACATGTACATATCGCATCATGCGCCTATTCTTGATGTTGACGGAGTGCATGCACATGCGCGCCGTGAAGACCGCCGCGACAACGCTTCTAAAGCTTTCATCTCTTTACGGTGGGCAACCTCGTCGCCATCTTGTGACAGCGCGATATCAAAGCACCTCACAGAAATCTACGCGTGCACATTCTGACAAAGACGACATGGCTAAGAATCTAAGAGTCACTTTTCTCGGCAGCTCTTCTGGCGGCGGACCATCGGAGTCGCGCAATTGCTCCAGTCTTGTCGCAGATGTGCTATGCGACGGAACACTCTGGAGTGAGTCTGCATGTACCTTATGAGCGTGTTGGACTTCTCACGCGTGGACTGGCTGGGACTCAGTGGTGGACGCCGGAGAGGGCACGCTAAGACAGTTCTCCCTGCAACCTCAAGGACGCTACCAGCTACGCGTTAACAACGTGAAGAAGATATTCGTAACCCACATGCATGGTCCGTTACTCAAGCCAACTCGTCTCGCGATTTTGAAGAAATGACATTGCTAGAATAGCTGATCATACCTTGGGTATCATTACTATCCTGCGAAACCTGCTTTTGCCGCCTCCTCAAGACCTGAATAGCGGAGGCTCTTCCGACTTTCTCTCGCGTCGGCCTGTGATTATTCGCTTTTTTTATCTCAGCGTATTCTTGCCGTGCAGCGATCTTATTTCATAATTCATCCACAGGCTAAAATCGAGCTATACGGCCCAGCTGGGTTACGGTCTTTTGTACGGACGATTTTGAAGATGACCCATACCAAGACCGCAGACAGATACGTTGTGCACGAACTTCTCACCTCTCAGGACACTGTGACACCATGCGACCCTCCCGAGCTTCGTCACGACAGCGAAAACGTCGGGAAGGACATCGTTTGCGACAGCGATGGCTTCTGGAGATCCTTCACCAGTGCTCCCGGAAAATTTAGCGAAGTCGAAGTGGATGCCGCACCAATCATGCATCGAGGTGTACCATGACCTTCCTCACATGTGTATCCACGGTGGCTCATCTCGTCCCCCAGATCCATGTTTGGGATATGTTATTCGTGAGGTTTCCGCACCTCGGCGGAAATTGGTGCTGTTGGGAGATACGAGTGATCCATCACCAATCTCTCCTTTAGCCGTTTCTCCGTCGCTGTTAGTTCATGAAGCAACAGACGCATATATCCCGACCAGTGTAGATTCGAAAGCGAAACGCAGTGCTGAAGTCGTCAAAGCAAAAGCGTTGTCCAGAGGACACTCAACTCCTGTCATGGCCGGAGAGTTCGCACGAAGCATTGGGGCCCGCAGGCTAGTTCTCAATCACATTGGAGGACGGTGAGTCGAAATTATTGAAAATATCCTTTGTTCGACCCTGAACTTGTAATCTAGATTCCCAGCCCCGCGGTATCAGAACGGTCGAGACATAAGGAGCGCGGTGATGCGGGAGATCGAGCGGCAGGCTTCAGAAGCATGGGGGTTGGGTCAGGCTCGCGCCGCCTGGGATTACATGCAGGTTTCTATACCTCCAGAGGAGCACGACTTCTCAACTATCCCAAACTCGTAGTAGCTCTGAAGACCGCGTTCTCCATCCGACTGTCCTTACTCAGTCGTGTTTCGGTGAATGTCCGTTCTTGCAGATATGCTTGCAGAGAATGAATTTGTGGGGTTGACGCCAACGGAGAACCACCCCTCAGCTCCGGAATGCACAGAAACAACCTGGTGATGGGAATAGCATAAGCGCAGACACGGACTGTGGGTTCCAGAGGCTGCATTATCTTGTACAAACAAATGCTTCACAGGCGTCGACGCCCTTGAGTAGTCCTTAGTCCGAGATGGGAAGTTCACGATGTGGGATGGGTTAATTCACCAAACTTCTCGCCTTCAAGGTCAATACTATGACTACTTCGCCCATCTAAAAACAGGTAGACAACTATTCCATATTAACTGGTAGTTTCTGCTGCACCGCACGATGAAGCGCAGATCGACGTCGGACGGCAACAACTGCCACGAATGTACCGAGTAATCTGCAAAGCCAGACATCCCGAGACATAGCGTTCATGCTGAATACGATTGAAGATGGCACATATGGAAGCATTAAGTTGGACTGTCCCAAAATTCTCGCTTGAGAATTCAGGTCGATGGAGCTCCGTCGAAGCCAAGTCGATGTTGGTTAAGACAGCTTGATCGAAGTCAGTGATTACAATGATCAAGGAACACACATGACTTAAGACCTCCGCTTTTCTTCTGCTCCTTACCTGGATTACTGCCTTCTTCTGCACTCCTCTTCGTCAACTCTAATCAACAATACCGAATGTCAACCAACGGCCCAATAAACGGTGTGAAAATCTCTCGTCAGTCCCACCTTCCTCCGACTACTCTCCTTCCCCACTCCCCACCCGCGTCACCATCGGCGATCCTCTTTCCCTTTGCCCCGAACGCTTTCTAACATTCACATCAGCTATAGATGATCCACAAAAGGTCGTCAAGGTAGTCGCTACCGATGGGAAATCCGACAATACCTCCGAAATCGCGTACAGCAACTCCAAGGTCATCGGCAATGGTTCCTTCGGTGTTGTTTTCCAAGCAAAGCTGCTTGATGTCTCTAAGGAGAAGGAGGACATAGCTATCAAGAAGGTTCTGCAGGACAAACGGTTCAAGGTACGTACGCAATTACACTACTGGCCTAGTGGCTGTCTTTTCTAAGTCTCTCAACATCGGCCTCCAGAATCGAGAGCTGCAAATCATGCGATTGGTGGGCCACCCGAACGTTGTTGATCTGCGTGCATTCTTCTATTCCAACGGCGAAAAGGTATGCCACTTCGAGGGCTTTGGTCATCATTCCCCACGAAGCTTACTTACGTTGTTTTTTCTACAGAAAGACGAAGTCTATCTCAACCTTGTCCTCGAATATGTACCCGAAACTGTGTACCGAGCCAGTCGCCACTACGCCAAACTCAAGCAACCTATGCCCATGCTTCAAATCAAACTCTACATGTATCAACTCCTTCGATCCCTGGCCTACATTCATTCGGTCGGCATATGCCACCGAGATATCAAACCGCAAAACCTTCTCTTGAACCCAGCTACCGGTGTCCTCAAGCTTTGTGACTTTGGTTCAGCGAAGATTCTGGTGGCAGGGGAGCCGAATGTCAGCTATATCTGCTCAAGGTATTACAGAGCTCCTGAGCTCATCTTTGGCGCTACAAATTACACAACCAACATCGGTCAGCGTTCATCTACCCTAATAGGGACTATGCATCTAATACCGTTGTTACCACAGATATCTGGTCGACTGGATGTGTGATGGCGGAGCTTATGCTGGGACAGCCCCTATTCCCAGGGGAGAGTGGCATTGATCAGCTGGTGGAGATCATCAAGGTGCTGGGTACGCCAACAAGGGAACAAATCAAGACCATGAATCCCAACTACATGGAGCACAAGTTCCCTCAGATCAAGCCTCACCCATTCTCCAAGGTAGGTTCTGGGCTCTTGACGTGTCTTCTGCAAATAACTTACGTCGATGTCTGCTGACAGGTCTTCCGACCTCGCACGGCTCCAGAGGCCATCGATCTCGTCGCCAAGCTATTGGAGTACAACCCGGGGTCCCGGTTGAGCGCAGTGGAGGCCATGGTACATCCGTTCTTTGACGAGCTTCGCGTACAAGGCGCTAGAATGCCCAACGGCAAGGACTTCCCTCTTCTCTTTGATTTCACACGAGAAGGTTTGCGTCTTGATTCTTCTCGCTGTGATCAAACGACTGATAAATGTACCTTCAGAGCTCTCCGTTAGACCTGACCTCATCCGCAAATTGGTGCCTCCACACACAGAACCTGAGCTAGCCTCTCGATCGATCGTGCTGGACTCTTTCGTACCCATACCGCTGGAGCAGATGAGGATCTCGCTGGATTAGTTCCGGAGCTCGCGCAGTTCATGGGTTGCGTGTTGTGTATATCTGGACATTGAGAAGTTGAGGGACGGCGTTTGCGAGCGCGATGTATGTGATTTTGTGCCTTTCTGTGCTCTGGTGCGACGAGCGTATCATCCATTCTCTTTTTGCGTATTATTTTTCTCTGTTGTTTTCTGACGCCCGAAACATGATGTCGATATAGTGTACAAGAAATGCATGGGAAGTTGTAAGAATGTACTTACCACCATCCTGTAGCCAACCGGAGGTGTCGCCCGGTATTGCGTGAGTTGATGTAGTGAGTGAGTGACCGAAGTTTGACGGAGCTTGTATTCAAATGGCGCAATCATGAGGACGAGTGGTCAGTCAAAAGTTGCATCTCACCTCAATGTCGAGCAACTTCCTTCGCCCTGCTTCGACCATGTTACCCCCTTCTTCCTCCTCATCATACGCCTGCGATACCCTGCCCGCCGCGAAACGTCTAAATGCTCAGTCTTCCGCCATGAGACCCGATGACAAGGCCCGAGCACCGCTCAGATCACAGTTTCCAGCCTCCAGCTCGGCATCCTCCTTGATACCTCCTGTACCCTTGCACAAGCAGCATCCAGCTAGGAAACTATGTCCGAGGCATCTTCGAATGGCAGACGAGGGCACGAATATTAAGCTGCAACAGGTGAGCTGACCGCGTAGCTATCGCCATGTCTGCATGACACTAAATGCATTGCTTTGATCTAGTCACTCGACGCCCTTCCTATGGAGGAGAGGGAAGCCGTCAACGCAATCTGGTCCAATTTCTCGTATTCCTCGCACACGAGAAGGGCTCTCATCCTGCACGGCCTACTCACAATGTGCTGCTTCTCTCAGCTGTCATTACTCAGCGAGCAGCTGGC